GTATAAAATACCATCGCCTAAATTATAGCGCCTAATGAGCATACGTAGGCTAGCTATCAGTAACTTATCCCAAGGCAACTTGGCGCGCCTAAACATTCCCATTAATTTAGCTGTACCATGCTTATTGCAGCACATACGTTCGAAAACAGCCCAACAGATCGATAGCGTCGCTATTTTTGCGAAAGATTTTCGGCCGTCCCTGCCCCCCGAAAATCGGCAAAAATGACGCGACGGCCAATTACTTTTGCCGTGGCCGCCCCCGTCACAAACACTTCGCACGCTTCGCCTGCTACGTATTTGCTCTCAGATGGCTCTACGGCTGCATAAAGATTTGCCACGCATCCCTGCGGGCTGTCTTGCAAATCGCAGCCTACCACGGACTACGCGACCTCGGCTTCGCCTCTCCATGTCGCGCAGCGGGTGTTGCTAACGATGATTGCTGATAAGACAAATCCAAGCCAGATACGCTGAGCTTTAGATAGACCTCTGCCATCACTCAAGTCTTTGATTTGTGAGTTTAAGTCATTCACATATATGATAATAAAAGAGAGCGTATTGAATAAAGGAAACATATACAACCTCACTAAAAAAAGTCGGTTGGATTATACCTGAATTATCTTAAGATCTCTAAAATGTCAGGAGTCGAGTCTAAGCTTAGGTGGTGCAATTTCTACTACATAAGTAATTGATGCTGGAAATTCACCGCCGACAGAAAGCCCCTGCAAAATTCTTAAGATAAATAAAATAATCATGGAACCATACCCAAGAACTTGATACGACGGCACCAAACCAATTAAAAAGGTAGGAATAAACATTAACACCATGGAAAGCCACAAAACATTCACACGCCCTAAGCGATCACCGTAATGACCGAATAACAAACCGCCTACTGGACGCAAAATGAATGCTGCTGCAAACAATATCACTTCAAAAGTGACCTCCAAAGCATGGTTACCAGAAGGGATAAAAACGGGCATAATTTGAATGAGGATATTCACACAAACAGTAAAGCCATACCATCCCAACACATTGCCGATAATCAAAAAGGCAATAACCTGCACATGCTTTAAATTTTTTTAGCGTTCATGTTAGAAACAGCATCATCCATTAGCCTTTAAAAAAAAGTATACCATAGGCTATTATGCTCACGAAACTGATTATTATTATGCGCATGACAAGATTCCTATTTCTCAAAAAATCCTGTTATACTAAATTCATCATGATGACAAGAGACACTTATGGCAAAACTTCCGCCAAATATAATCTATGGCCCCAACGCCAAAGTTCCTTGGTTAACCCTCATATTACAAGGGATACAACATGCCGCCACCATGTCAAGCACACTGGTATTGCCAGCAACGGTAATATGAGCCGCACATGGCAGCAACCTTGACGCGGAAGCATTACTGCAAGTCTCCATGTTAGTAATTGGCATAGGTACCTTGTTACTCACACTACGCATGCTATTTATTGGTTGCGGTTACCTGTGCCCACAACTTGTTGCGCCAGGCTATTTAAGCGCTGCTATCATTGCCGTAAAAACCGGCGGTGTTTCTCTATTGTTCGGGATGAATATTATTGCTGGCTGCTTTCAAAGCCTCATTAGCTTCTTAATTCCAAAATTACGGCAACTCTTTCCTATTGAAGTCAGTGGCACTGTCGTGATGATGATTGGCATCACTTTAATCATTCCAGGCATCCAAAATATTTTAGGTAACCCTTATGCACAAAGTAATGCTGATTTAGCTTGGCGTGGACAACCCATCATGGTTGCATCGATATCATTAGCACTTATGATCATCCTGAGCATCTGGGGTAAAATATTAAGCCGCTATAGCTTAATCATTGGTGTCATTGTAGGTATGATTTTAGGCCTGACACTCGGCTTATCCCCACCAAATTTACCAAAAACATTTCACCAAACAAGTTGGGTTGCTTTACCTCATGCAACAGGTTTTCTACATTTATCTTTTTCATAAGCTATGTTATTACCTTTTTTGATTGCATCACTTTGCGTAACACTGAAAACAATGGGCAACATCATTACCTGTCAAAAAATCAATAACAGTGAATGGAATAAACCAAACTTAGTTAACATCCGCAATGGTAGCTTCGCTAACGGCATCAGCACCATTCTTACTGGATTACTCGGCGGAATGTCTGGCAGCCCTTCGGCAAGCAATATTGGTTTATCTGCAGCAACTGGCATCACCTCTCCCTTCATTGCCATATGCGCGGGCATTATTTTCATTCTACTTTCTTTCTTCCCCAAAATTGCTTTTATTTTTATTCTAATCCCCAAGCCAGTACAAGGTAGCATTCTATTATTTGTTGCATCCTTCATGATTACTGCTGGCATGCAAGTGATTTCAGTTAAAAATATGGATATACGACGCGTTTTTGTTGTTGGCTTAGCTTTGATCTCAGGTATTATCTTTTTAATCGTGCCTGAAAGCTTGCTTAACACATTAGCTACCCCGCTTGTTCCTATACTTGATTCTCCATTAGCCGTTACAACCATTGTCGCTTTTATTTTAAATGGCTTATTCCGAATTGGTATTACTAAAAAAGAACGATTACTGTACTGTATAGCAATAATATGTTAGCCGATATTTGGCGATTTATCGAAGACAAGGGGCAATTTTGGATAACCTTACCAGAAACTGCAAAAAAAGCTGCGCAAGCTGTAACTGAATGCATGGAAGCAATACACTTACAAAACAAAATCAAAAAAGCAAAGCTCTCAATTAGCTTCGATGAACTTAGCTTAATTGTGCATCTACGCTACAAAGGAAAAAAATTAGATCTAAATGCTTGCAAGCCAGATCGTACCGAAATAGAAAGTGACCCCACAGCACTTGCCAATCTCTCTATTATACTCATGCAAAAACATGCTGACAATGTCACTCTAAGCAAACAAGGAAAAGAACAAATTGTCACTATCCTAGTCAGGCAATAATGGGTGTTTCATGAAATTATTTACGCACAATAAAATTCTTAAATCATGGCACCTTTACCAAGTACTCACGCTAATATTAGTTGCGCTGACAATTTTCTTCCCCATAATTATTGCAGGCCATACTTTCATTAACTTCGTTTTCGACCCAAGCTATAATAAAATCGTAGGAAATATTTTTTACTACAGAGTACAACAAACTGACTTTACTGGTCATCAAATACTTTATCTAACATTATTGCATCTTAAAAATCACATTCACATCTTCATTTACTTCGGCACAATTATTGTTGCGCTCATTATTACGTGCCTGTTGTTTTATGTGCTCATTTCAATGCGTATTTCTCAAGGTAAGCGTGTTCTTATTGAATTAGTAGCCAACTTAGAGCATGCCGGTGCAAAGGAAATCATGGAGCCACGCGCCTTAGCAAGTTTTGAATACGATACCACTGGTTATCACGCTAATATCTTATTGAAATTTCAAAAGAGTGTTATCAACTATAGTCAAAAATTAACGAAAGAAATTGAACAAAGCACTAAAATCAAAAATGAACTCTCTATTGCTCATAAATTGTAAGCGATTCAACAACTACATTCTTATAAAGCGTATTTTTTTCTGTCAGACTTCCAGGGTGTTTATATTAGGAGGCATTGCCAATGTCAGAACAGGTATTATTAACAGCAGATCAATGGCGGCAACATGTCGAACACTGCAAGGCAAGCGGTTTAACAATCAAAGCTTACAGCAAGCAGCATACGTTGAAGTATAGCATCTTACTCTATCACTATAGGAAAGCCTATCCAATCAAAAAGAATACGAAGCTTATTCCAGTACAGCTAAAATCAGGCGTGTCACTGTGTCGCATAGAGCTTCACAATGGCCATGCAATATCAGTGCACGACGCTAGTTTATTACTAAGTATTCTACAGGCGTTACTACCTTGAATATTTCCTACAAGACACCTATTTGGCTTTATCCAAGACCAGTCGATTTTAGAAAACAAATTGATGGGCTTGTGATACTAATCGCTGATGAGTTATCGTTGAACCCCACGTCTGGTGAGCTATTTATCTTTCGGAATCGTACCGCTAAAAAATAAAATTATTGTGGTACGACCAAAACGGCTTTTGGTTATGCTACAAACGCCTTGAAAAAGGAAGGCTATTATTTCCTCTCAACACAAGTGGTGTTATGGAGATAACGAGAGACCAGCTAACTTGGTTATTATCAGGTTTAGATTTTACACGGCATCATTCACTGCCAAAGGTAGATGCTGGTTATTTTTGTTAAAGTTTAGAATAAAAAAGTGCTATAACAGCTATATTATAGTATAATTGTGTTTTACATTCTTTTAATATTCGTATGAATTTTTCACAAAAACAATTCGAAAACCAAATTGAAGAAATTAATCGACTTAAACATCAGCTTGAGCAATCTAAACAGGCTTATGACTGTTTATATCAACAACTCCAGAATTTACTACGTCATCGTTTTGGCACACAGTCAGAACGCGACATTGATCCCAACGATCCTCAGGGCGATTTCTTCATTGAGGATCATACGGCAAGCCATGTAGAGCCAGAAGAGCATGCCGAGATTAACATACTGGCACATACGCGCAAAGTTAAAAAGAAAAAGGATCTATCACAGTACCCACGCATCATTGAATCATTCCTGTGCCTGATGACGAGAAGCAATGCTCATGTGGCTGCATGAAAAAAGTAATACGCCATGAGATAAAAGAATTATTTGATTACATACCAGCTGTTTTCCGTATCGTTGAGCAACGACGCGAGGTGGTTGCGTGCCCAAAAGGTTGTGGTACGATTCAAACCGCAGCAGCGCCTTTACATGTACTGCCTAAAGTTAAAGCGACTGAATCGCTGCTAGCGCATGTTGTTGTTTCTAAGTTTCATAACAGGCAACCGTTATACCATTTAGAGAAATATGGTCACGCAGTCGAGATGTCACGTAAAACCATGGCAAGCTGGATGATTCGGTTGGTAACACCCTTGCAACCTGTTTTTAATCTCATGAAAGATCACATTATTGATTATAATATCGCGAGTATTGACGCCACAACACTACAGGTTTTAAATGAGCCTGGGCGCCCAGCTAAACGCAAGTCGTATCTTTATTGCTTGCGAGGCGGGCCGCCAGATATGCCAGCTATTTTATACAGTTACAATGCACTGAAACAAAAGCAATTCGTCGATGAATGGCTGGAAGGATTTAGTGGCTGCATTCATATGGATGCTGATTTTTTCTTCAGCGCGCTGCTTGCTGATTCTAACGTGTTACCCAGTTACTGTAATGCGCATGCAAGGCGCCGTTTTGAGCAGGTTAAGAAGCTGGCCAAGAAGAATGGATTAGCGCATGAAGCAATACGTTATTATAAGAAGCTTTACAGAGTTGAGCGATATGCAAAAAATAACAACATGACAGCTGAGCAACGTTATCAATATAGACAAGAGCATGCCAAGCCTATCATGGATGAATTTTATAGCTGGCTTAAAAAACACCAAGCACTTGTTTTGCCTCAGTCATCGTTAGGTAAAGCCTTTGCTTATGCGATTAAGTATGAAGCGGGTTTGTGTCGCTACCTAGAGGATGGTCGTTTAGAAATTGACAATAATCATACGGAGTGTGAGATTAAGCCTGTCGTTATTGCACGTAAGAATTTTATGTTTGCTTATTCAGTAGCTGGAGCGCACGCTATTTGCATGCATATGAGCTTAATAAGATCGGCTATCGCTAATGGATTAGATCCTTATCAATATTATCATGCACTGCTAAAAAAGATTCCGCACTGCCAGGAAGTGGCTGACTATGAGGCATTATTACCTTGGAACATAGATCTTTCATAAGTCGAGCATGTAGTTAAAGTATCGCTTACCATAAATTACAACAAAACATGCTGCCAACTGATTTTTTTCTATTGAAAAAATCGATAGCGTCGCTATTTTTGCGAAAGATTTTCGGCCGTCCCTGCCCCCGAAAATCGGCAAAAATGACGCGACGGCCAATTACTTTTGCCGTGGCCGCCCCCGTCACAAACACTTCGCACGCTTCGCCTGCTACGTATTTGCTCTCAGATGGCTCTACGGCTGCATAAAGATTTGCCGCGCATCCCTGCGGGCTGTCTTGCAAATCGCAGCCTACCACGGACTACGCGACCTCGGCTTCGCCTCTCCATGTCGCGCAGCGTATGCCA